CGTATACTTGAAGTACGCGGAGGACTAAAGCTAATTTTTGAGATAGCCTCCAAGTTTATTAATTAAATTCAGTTTCCCTTGTCATGTTGGCACGAGAACGCCGTTTCTTTCGACAGATACCCAAGTCTCATCTTACGCTTTTTGACCGGGGCTCCCATTCTCTTTTTCGTAAGGCAAGAGGTCTAGCTATATTAATTTTTCACCTTTCGGATTCTCACTAGACATTACCCCATTCTAATCTCGGCCTCACCAAGGAAAAATAGCAATTTAAGTTCATTAATTTAAAAGTGAATCCATGCCTACAATGCAATCCTCGAAAGTATCAAATTCCTAAAAAGTGACTGCTCTTACCCCATTTGGGGCATAGGAACAGTGCCAAAAATGGCTCCTACAAAAATTCCCTAAACTTAGCAAATTAATCCCTTAATTCCCTAAACATCAAGACTAAGTCAGAAATATTCATGGGCAAAGAAATAGGCCATTTGGCTATGGAGCTCAATTAATTGGGTAACAAAGAACAGTCAGGCTCAAAATGGCTTCTCCTAAAGGGTTCTTTCAGGTGGGGTGGATGATTAATGGAGAATTCAATGGGTGACTAATGTCTTCATCCTCTCAACACCTAGATTATAGTGCAAGCAATTTAAGCCTAAACACTTCAAAGATGTTCTAAAAGCATAGTCAAAACGCTAGCCAGCTCACAAAGACACAGTTTAAAGAAAAATTTTCAAAAATTTTTTTGCATGAATTTCCTATGAATATACAACTAACACCTGCGCATGCTAACTCTAATAAATCTCATGTAACAACCACTGCCCGAATGCCCAATTCACTCCCCCACACTTAAACTTTGGCATCGTCCTCGATGACAAAAAATGCACTATGCACAAGGGGGTAAAGAGGATAGGGTCACGCGTGCTCAACTTAACTCAAGTCAATTATTACAAACAGGCGATTATTAGAGTCATAGAACCTTCCCTATGGCGCTGGTCGGTGCAGAACTAAACTGAGTCAATGTAATCCTTGGCACATCACCCATATAACAAGACTCTGGGCTGCAACAAAAACACAAAGCAAAACAACCAAACAACAAACAAAGAAAAATAAAAGTAGAAAAAAAAGCTCGGGCTGCCTCCCGAGAAGCGCTATTTTTAACGTCGTGTGCCCGACGATACCTCGTAAGCTCTCAAATACAAAAGACTGTAATGGTGCACTAGTAATCAACGTTTCCAGCTTCCCCTCAACAAATGCCATTAGGTGGCGCAGATTCTTAAATTCTCGAATATGCGTAGGCAGCACATGGTCTTCATAATCCTCATCAGCAGCACAAAAGTGAAGGATGAAACTCTCGTCCTCTTCAGGTGGATAGGAAACATGAGTGAGAACTTTGATTACTCTAGGTATCACCGGAAGCTCAAAAGATGTCTCGAAGCAAAGATTAGGAGCAACACCGTGATCGAAGTGCACCATAGAAAAGTCTTTTTCTTCTCCACAAACAACATGAACATTCGCAACCTCTCCTCCAAACTCTGTATCACTCTCCATGAATGCATCCCAATTCGTTTCGTCACTCTTCTTATTAATATCCTCCAAGCAGTTGTGATCATTCTCCACACACAAAGAAATATCATCACCAAGGAATGGGTCAAAGAAATCCAAATCTGAAACCACGTAAGAGTGGACCGGTGCATGTGTACAAGAAGGGAATTCTTGCTTGTGGAGCGGAACTTCTTCATTATGGACATCATCTACCTCGCCCCCACTCTCTTGGAGCATGTGATCATCTTTTCCCAACTCATCTTCAGTACCCAAACCTACCTCAGTAGCACAATCATCAAGACTGATCTTCTCCTTTCCCTCCTCAGGTGCTGAGACTAATGGTAAATCAAATGGCTGTGGAGTTTCTGTATGAAAATCACAGTGATCAGTGACTTCATCAGTTACAACTTGTACCGTTTGAAACTTTTTCCTGTATTCTTGGAAAAACAACTTAACACTACTATCTTCTTCATCATCTTCAACCATAGGTGGGTCTTCAAAGGCATCAAGAAGTGTATCATCCATCATGTTCCCACTATCATAGTCTGACTCGCTCACGTGATCATCCATATTGGTCTCCTCGGGTTGAGCGTCTGTGTCGCTAGGATAAGATCTCTCGGACTCCTCAGATAAAGCCTTTCTAATCTGCCCTAATTGATTCTCCATGTTCTGCCTCCTTGTGTTTGCTTGCTGTTGAATTGCCATGCTCGCCTCAATTTCTTGCATGAATTGCTTGAGTGTTTCTTCCAGGTGAGACAGCTTCTCTGAAATTATCTCTTCCACTTCATCCTGTGGTTCATAGCTCGGCAAAGACGTAGGAGTGATCGAAACATTTGTGTTCGTAAATTGTGGGGAGGAAGAAGTGGGGTATGCAGTTTCCTGGAAAGGATGGTCATATAGAGGTTTGATGGGGCAAAGACATAAATGGTGATCTCCTCCACAGAAAGAACAAATGCTATCCTTAAAACATTCAGATATTTCCTCAGGCGTTTTATTTAGAAGCATAAATTCAAGAATGGAGCCTCGTCTTACGCTTACCCAAGGGTAATGTGATGAAGGATAGTAAAAATCAGAATGAAAGAGTTGTGTGGTTGGAGTGTATGGATAAGAAGGCTGAATATTTTGTGGTGTAGGAGAGTAATTTTGATGAGGTGAGTAATATTGAGGAGGAGGAGGAGGAGTGTAAGGAGGGTATGACGTATATGGTGAATATTCCATGGAGGTTTGAGGGTAAGGAATTCCTCCAGGAATTTGGCTGAATAGGTTCATCTCATGCCTCTTTGAAAAATACCTGAAAGGTTAGCACAGAAAAAAAAAAAAAAAATCCTACGAAGAACTAAAAAAAAAAAAAAAAAAAAAAAACTAACTAAAAAAAATCTCGCTGAAATTAATTAACCCTTAAAACCGACACCGTCCCCGGCAACGGCGCCAAAAACTGATGTGAGTTTTCTCGCACTTAAAATGGTTGTAGAAAAGTGGTGTAAAGTACGAGTATCGTCTCCACAGGGACGGACAAAAGGGAATTAAAGATTAACTAAATTCAGCGATTAAAAAGAAATAAAATAAATAAATGCAAGTGTGCGAGATTGATTGGTGAATTAAAATTAAACTAATGCAGATGAACGATTAAAATAAAAGTGGTTTCTTCTCAATTAACGACGAAGGGAACAGGGATTGATTCCGGGGTAACCAGATTTCTGGCAGATCAGTCTTAATTACATGAATTTAATTTAATTGAGCCTAGCTAATCATTACTAAGTTCTTACCGCTCTCGCGGCGTAGAGTACAATAATTTAGGGGACCAGGCTGATCTCTCATGCGACAAGATCCTAAATTATTGCCAAGACGAGCGAGCTTACGGCCCCTTAATCGCTACTAATCTCTTAGCGAACGATTAAGTGTGTGTGAATGTGTCCTAGAACAAATTAGATCTCTCTTAATTTATTCTATAAGCAATTGTAATTCTAGTGGCCATCTAGGTTACAAGAGATATCAATTAAATTATTCATACACAAATTAAACGGCATTCATGCAATTAAACCGACAAGAATCTAGCCATACATCATGATTAACCCCTTCATCAATCCCAAATCCCTAATTAAACTACTCACAATTCATAATTGAAGAATCAACAGAATTGAGATGAATAGAATAAATTGTCATTAATTAAAAAGATGAACTTACAAATAATCCCAGGGTCTTGGAAGAAAATAGCGTAAAAACGGTGTTAAATTCGTCCCTAGGCCTCTCCGTAATGTTCGTAACATCAAAATATGGGTATGGGGGTCTTATTTATAGAAAACAGATGAGTTTGGGCTGAACTGGGACTAAAAAGGGGCTGAAATACGCGTCTCGGGTGTACGCACGATCGTGCGTACCTTGCCACGCACGATCGTGCGTAGCAGGCAGATTTGTTGCCGCATTTTTGGCTCTTACGCACGATCGTGCGTCCTTTTACGCACGGTCGTGCGTCCGTGCTCTTCAGCCTTTTTTCTAGTCCGAATTTGACAAAACTTCCTTCATGAGAGTTGTAGATAATGAAGTCCTCTATCCACCCCAATTTGCCGAATGTGATTTGAATCATCCAATCAAGAGATATGATCAAAACGGTGGAAGGTGTCTTTCTGAAATCGCAACAGAGATCATCTGACTTCATCATCTGTTTTCACCTTGATCCTCTCAGATTCTCGGAATGATGTCTTCATATGATTTGTAGCCCTTGAAGTTGGCTTTCATATGGAACTTGAATCGTGTACATTGGATGCTTATACAAAGAGATATGCTTGAACGATTGACCAAAGGTCATCCTGATCGTCGTTTTCCAGCTTCATTCATCTTCTTTTGATCCCATAGCCAATCCTAGAGCTCTTTTGTCATCAAATCTTCATCGTGAACATCCCGGTGACCTCCAAAGCTCTCAATCCACTCTCGAATGCATCTCGAATCATCCCGATTGCTCCTCAAGTGCCGATGTTCAACTCTAAATTCCTCATTTTGACTCCAAATGCAACAAAACTTGAACCAACGCATGTTAAACATAACTTGAGCTAAAATTAAGACTTGCAACAACTTAAATCTAGGAAAACCATCAAAATCCAATCCCAACACGCATCAAATACGTGTCTAAATACGGACTTATCATGCGCAATCACTTCAGGCGGCACCCGAAGGTGGGAAATGCCGCACTCCAGAAGGATGGGAAGAAGATCGCCGCCTTGCTGCCGGGGGCCACGAAGCGTGTGACCGTCAAGGACTCTACTCTCCCCGAGGACTTGCTGGCTCTTGGCTTCCGGCGATATCGTTTCTTGGGGGAAAAAGACGGACAATACCCCGTACTCGAAAGAGCCTTCCGCGGTATAGGAGGTAGTCTCCGAGGGGTCCTCATCGTGTACTTAGGCTTTCATTTATATTGCCTTTCTGTTTCGTAGTCGTACCCTCGGGCTAACCATTGTTGTAACTTGCAGGTGTTAGCATGGACGTGTCCAACTTTGCCGCCCTCAAGAAAAAGCTGGCGAAGGATCCCAAGAAGAAGAAAGAGGCGGGAAGCCAGAAACCCGTCGATGAGTTCTTCCGGAAGGACGGGGCCGCTCAGGTCCCGGAGGGCGAGGTTCCCTCCAATTCCGCTGCTGCCGGTGCTGACGCCGAGGGCTCCCGAGGGGAGGAGCTCAAGAGAAAGAATGCCGGGAAAGGCGCAGCTATCCCGGAGAGCAAGAAGCTGAGGAAGGGGGCCCTCGGAAAAAAGGATGCCCCCATTGTGATAGTCGAGGAGCAACCATCCTCGAATCTCCCGGCGGCTATTCCCCCTCGTTCTCCTCCCTCTCCTGTTGATGAAGGCCTTCGGCCGGCGGAGATCGTTCAATTCCCCATCAAGTCGGGGACTTCCGTTATGCATGGCACTCTACATCCCGTCGGGTTCATGCGAGGGGTGATGTCCTCGAAGGACAGGTCTGTGCTTGCTAGGCTCGAGGATGACATCCTCGACTACAAAGTGGCCAGCTATAGCACTATGGTGAGTTGTGTCCCCCCTTCTCCTCCCTTCTATTCTTTGATGTTAACTCCCGATGGCTCATTCTGATGCTATATTTTTGTCTATGTGTGTTTACTTGCAGGCTGCCCTGGCTGCTTCCGAGCAGGCCCGAAGGGTTGAGCAACTGAGGATAGCCAAGTGTCAGGCGGACGAGGCTCTGAAGAAAGCCGACGAGGAGAGGGTTGCCCTTCGGCAGAGGATTGCTGATGCGGAGGCAGCCCTTCGGCTGGAGAGGGAGGGCATGGAGCGAAGGCTGCAAGATGCCGAAGCTAAAGGGAAGGCTACCGCTGAGGAAGCCGCCGCTGCTGCCGCCAAGATTACTGCCGAAGCTGCCGAGAGTGCTAAGGCCGAAGCGGTGGCCGATGCTAAGAAGAGAGCAGTCGAGGCCTTCCTCGCCGGGGGCTGGATGGTGGCCGACCACGAGGGGTGGGTGGCCTCGGTGGTGGAGCAGAAGGTGGATGCCTGGGTGAAGGGCCCCGGTGCTGAATGGCTTGCCCGAAAGGGTAAAGACTATTATGACGGTGGTGAATTCTTCACCCAGAAGATGATCTACCGGAGGCTGGCCCGGCATTTAAAAACCGATCCGAAGGAATTTGATCCGGCAGCTTACGGCCTCCCCCCCTTGCAGCCCGATGTCCGGGTCCCTCTGTCCGAAGGTGAAGAGAGGCCGGACCTAGAGGATTCCGAGCTAATGGGCGAGGGCGGCGACGAAGGAGCCGAAGATGACGCGGCCTCAAAGGCGAAGGAAGACGCAACTGCGGAAGCTCAAAAATAGGATCTGTTCTAAGTGTAGCTTTGTAATAGTCCGCATCTTTCGGCCTCGGCCATGTATTGTAATCAGAACATGTCTGGTCACTTTGAATATTTCTTTTCCTAATGGTGAATGCTTTGCCTCCGGGCTTTCTTGGAATGAATTGCTTCCTCTTTGTCTTGAATTTGAATGTATGCCTTCGCCTTACTTCCTTTTGTTTGTATGCTCTCCCTTTTTTGAATGAATGCATGTGCTTCCGGAGGCCACAAGTTTGTGGACTTAGAAAATTTTCTAAGCGTAACTCCTTGCTAGCCCCAGGTTGTAGTGTAGTATCGCCGGGGGGCCGTTGTTGTGGACTTAGAAAATTTTCCAAGTAAACTTGACCAGAGCCCTTCGGATGTAGAGTAGAATCATCCCCCTTCGGATGTTCGTAGTAGTGAAGGTCGAGGGGTAAAATGAATTAGACTTAGGAAGTTCACTAGGTGAAGTTGCAACTTGGGCCCCCGGAAATGCTGAGCCTTCGATTAATAGTGTAGCTTCAGTGTAGCTTTAGGGCCTCGTCAAATAGTTTGAGGCCTCCTTCGGCTGTAAGCCCGTGGGCAATAGTGGGGTCTACGGTTCGATGAGTGTTTCCCTAAGGATACCAATATGTGGACTTAGAAATCTTTTCATCGTTGAATGAGCCTGGTGATCCTTCTTCCTTCGGTATAAACCCCCCGGTTTGTGTAGGTATAGATTTAGCTTGCCTTAGAACTTTGTGGAGCCTTCGGCATGTCACATAGTTGACTTTGATCCAACCGAATTTCGGCCTTAGCCAATTTTAGGTTTCCGGGGAAACCGTTGTACTCCAAGGCTTTATGTAGGTGAGCCTTCGGCTATGTAGCCAGATGACTGATTGTAGAGAGATTTTCTTGTGCCTTTGTAGGAGCCTTCGGGAATGTATATCCGAAGTGTTGAGCCTCCGGGGAAAATAGTATCCGGGGAGTTCCTTCCCCCCTACACATCTCTTTTTTTTTTTTTTTTTTTTTGAGATGGTGTAGGAGAGGCATCTAGAAACTTGGTTTCTAGGAAAGGCTTGGCCTATATGGGAGGCAACGGAACAAACCGTTGGCTCCCCCTTCGGGAATGACCTTCCGATATCCCGAAGGGTTTGAGGGTCGTTTCCTCGGCCCGAGACATCGTCTGTTGCCTGCTTCCCCTTGGGAGATAGCACGGAAAGCGCCTCGGTTTTGAAAGTCGTCCCCTCAGCCCGAGACATGGTCTGTTGCCTGCTTCCCCTTGGGGGATAGCGCGGGGAGCGTTTCGTTTGTGGAAGTCGAATCCTGGGCCCGGGACATGGTCCGTTGCCTGCCTCCCCTTGGGGGATGGCGCGGAAAGCGTTCCTGGGAAGGGTTTTATTTGTGTGCGGGACACAAATAGCCGGGGGCACTTGGTACCAGCCGGAGCCGAGGGGTGTCACACCCCCCGGTTTTTTTTTTTTTTTTTTTTTTTTTTTTTTTTTTTTAGGAGAGTATGTAAAAGTTTGAGAAAACACTTGGTGTTTTCACAGAGTGATGGGGGTGACCCATACACTTGGTACCTAAATTGTCGTTCCCCCTCGTGAGGGGGAGAGGCCTTGGGCCTATTTTGGTGGAGAGATGAGGGCTTGGCCACTCATGTGTAGGAGAGAAGGGGGGGGGGCCTTGGGCCGCTTGTACAATATGTAGGTGATGAAGGCTTGGCCTTTTGATTATTCTTCAAAAACAGATGGGGCCTTGGGCCATTGATATTTACACTTGCTGAGGATGAGGGCTTGGCCGCTCATGCCTTATTGATAGAATTTGACAAGGTGGTGCACATTCCAATGTCTAGGGACCTCCGTCCCATTGGGACGTTTAAGTTTGTATGTCCCTGGTTTGATGATGGCTGAGATGATGTAGGGGCCTTCAAACTTGGGCGCCATCTTTCCTCCTTCGGTGGGTAGACTGGCCTCCCTTCGTCGGAGGACGTAGTCTCCCACCTGAAATTCCCGAGAGCGGACCTTGGCGTCGATGTAGCCTTTGACTTGTCTCCTATAGTTTTCGGCCTTGAGGAAAGCTTGCTCTCGGCGTTCCGAGATGAGATGAAGGTCGAGGGCCATGTTGGCGTCGTTGACCTCGGGCTCATATTGTTCCACCCTTCGGGTGGGAAGAGTCACTTCTGTTGGAGCCTTAGCCTCAAAGCCATAGCATAGGGAGAAGGGTGTTTCGCCGGTTGCGCGTCGAGGGGTGGTGCGGTAGGCCCATAAGATGTTGTGTAGCTCTTCTACCCAGCCTCCCCCCTCGGCTTCCAGCTTTTTCTTCAACCCTTCAAGTAGGGTTCGGTTGGCGTTCTCTACTTGCCCGTTGCCTTGGGGGTAGGCAACGGATGAAAAGGTGTGTTTGATGCCCCACGCCTCCAGGAGGGCACAGAAGGGGGCTGCCTCGAATTGAGTCCCGTTGTCAGAGATGATTTGTTGGGGGACGCCAAACCTCGTGAGAATATTCTTGAGAACAAAGTGGCGGCACCGGGCTTCAGTGATGCTGGCGAGGGGCTCGGCCTCTACCCATTTGGTGAAGTAGTCAATGGCAACGATGATGTACCTGTTGTTGGAGGTCCCCCTCGGCAGAGGGCCTACTAAGTCAATTCCCCATCTGGAGAAGGGAATAGCGGTGCTGATGGGGGCATAGTTGACCGCTGGCCTGCCGGGGGCCCTCTGGAAGTGTTGGCACGCGGTGCATCTTCGGGCTAGATCAGCACAATCTCTAGCCATCGTGGGCCAGAAGTAGCCCTGAACTATGAGCCTTCGGGACATGGAGAAGGGTCCCTGGTGGGCTGAGCAAGTGCCACTGTGCACTTCCTCCATAGCGACTTCGGCTTCATCTTGATGAAGGCACCGAAGGAGGGTGCCGTTGTAAGATCTTTTGTAAAGCCTCCCATTCTCGAGGGTATAGCTGGGAGCCCTCAGCTTTGCTAACTTGGCGCGGGCTTCGTCTTGGGGCATTTGTCCTGTGGCGATGAAGGCGATGATGTCAGAGATCCAGTCCTCCGGCCTTAGGTGGATGTCCATGACGGGGCTCGCGTGGATGCTTGAGAGGCTGAGTTCCTCAATTCTTGCGATTTTGGAGAGGTGCTCGGGGGATTCATCCGAGAGCTTGGATAGAATGTCGGCCTCAGAGTTTTGAGCCCTCGGTATTTGGGTAAGAGAATGTGCGTCAAATACCTTAAGCAACTCCTTGGCGGCCTCCTTGTATTGTTTCATCCTCCCTTCTTTGGCTTCGTACTCCCCGGAAATTTGCCCCACGACAAGCTTGGAGTCGCACTTGACGTGGATCATCTTGGCCTTCAGATTTGCTGCCAGCCGAAGGCCACATAGGAGGGCTTCGTACTCGGCCTCGTTGTTGGAGACCTTGAAGGAGAAGCGGATGGCATAATAGGCGCGGAAGCCTTCGGGTGTGATCAGAACTACTCCCCCTCCGCATGCTTTGGTGGCCGAGGAGCCATCGGTATAGAGTGTCCACCACTCATCGAGGGGTGCCGAAGTCTCCTCGTCTGTTGCTGACCTTGCGGTGCACTCCGTTACGAAGTCTGCCAGGGCTTGGCCCTTAATGGCAGGCCTCGGACGGATGTCTATGTTGTATTGGCTGAGGAAGATGGCCCATTTTACCATCCGGGAGGAGCTAGTGGGACTCCTCATGAGGGCGCCGAGGGGTTGATGAGTGAGCACCTGGACTGGATGAGCTTGAAAGTAGTGGCCAAGCTTCTTGGCGGTCCAAACGATGGCTAGCACCGTCTTCTCGACGGGAGAATACCTGAGTTCGGCCTCCCGGAGGGTTTTGCTGACGTAGAAGATGGCATGTTGGATGTCGTCCTCCTCTCGGATTAGTACTGAGCTGATAGCCGCAGGGCTAACACCGAGATACAAGTATAAGGTCTCCCCCACCTTTGGTTTGGAGAGCACTGGGGGAGAGGAGAGGTACTTCTTGAGTTCGTCGAAGGCCTCTTGACACTCAGATGTCCATTGGAACCCCGCCGTCTTCCTCATGATTTGGAAGAAGGGGAGGGCCCTCTCGGCTGACTTAGAGAGGAATCGGTTGAGGGCCGCCAGGCGACCCGTCAACCGTTGAACCTCTTTGACGTTGCGCGGGGGCTCCATGTTGATGATGGCCTGAATCTTCTCGGGGTTGGCCTCAATACCCCTTCGGCTGACCATGTAGCCCAAGAATTTTCCTCCCTGCACGCCGAAGGTGCATTTCTTTGGATTTAGCCGGAGGTTGAATTTTTGCATGATGGCAAAAATCTCCCGGAGGTCGTCGGCGTGAGTGCTTGCCTTCTTACTTTTGACGATCATATCGTCAACGTAAGCCTCCATGGTGCGTCCTAGGACAGCTTGAAAGATCCTAGCCACCATGCGTGTGTAGGTGGCGCCTGAATTTTTGAGGCCGAAGGCCATCACAAGATAGCAGAAGATGCCTTCGGGTGTCATGAAGGCAGTTTTTTCAGCGTCTTCCTCATGCATGTAGATTTGATGATATCCGCGGAATGCGTCGAGGAATGACATAATCTCGCATCCCGCGGTCTCATCCACAAGTTGATCAATGTTCGGCAGAGGGAAGGGGTCCATAGGGCACGCCTTATTCAGATCTGTGTAGTCCACGCACATGCGGAAGGTAGGAGGTTTTTGTGCGAGGACTACATTAGCCAACCAAGAAGGGTACTTCACCTCCTTAATGTGTTTGATGGAGAGGAGCGTAGACACCTCTTTCTTTACGAACTCCCTTCTCTCGGCTGAGAGGGGTCTTCTTCGTTGCTGTACCGGTTTGGCCGAAGGGTCCACCGCCAGGCGGTGGGTGACAACCCTTCGGTCAATTCCTGGCATATCCTCCGGCCCCCATGCAAAAACGATGGAGTAGGCGCGGAGGGTCTTGGTGATGTCAGCCTTCAGGTCTTCGGGGAGCTTGGCTCCAATCTTCAGGACTCTCTCCGGCTTGGCCGGATCGAGTATCAAGTCTTCGGTGTCCTCGGCAGGCTCAGCCCTCGGCCTACCTTCTTCTTCCTCCAGGGCCTTGGCGGTGATGGTGTCAACTCGAAACTCAGTTTTACTAACCTTCTTGGTAAGTTGAAGGTAGCAGGCCCTGGAG